TAGGGATCGTTTCTCTTCTGGAGTTCCGAGTTTCATGTTAAGAATGGATGCCATCAGTTCGGGACAGGAATTACGACGAGTGTTCGCGTATGTGCCGGAGTGCATGGGTTCATTAGAATCAACGGCATCTTTGTCACTAATTACAGAGCTAACGGTAGGACTGTAAGCATACTCGGTAAAGTAATCCGAAATAGTGACGGCAGATTGAGGGGTGGATAAGGGAAGAAGGTTGTCAATGTGATCATACACATACTCGGATGCCACGGTTGATGCAGAAGACACGTTTGAGTGCATCCATTCTCCGTCGTCGTGTTGGGAATTCGATGGTTTCTGAATGAGCTGTCGTTGTTGAACCATATGTTCATATTCTTCTTGTGTTTCCCAGGTAGTTTTGAGAGGGTCGATGTTTGGCTTCTGACGAGACCTTTTTGGCAATTGACCATTTTCTGTTTCATGAGCAAGCATATCGTTGACGGGTTTTGGCTGGTCAACGTAAAATGTTGAATCATTCTGATTTCCTTCATATCCACAATAAACTTCTGATGGACTATTGGCAGTACTTTCCAAAGCTTGATCATTGATATCAGTTGATGAATCACTTTCGACACATTCTTGACCACCATGCTCCGTGGTTGTAACAGAAATTGTTGAGTCGGCTGTGGAAAAAAATGTTTCTAAAGAATCTGTTGGACTAGATACTATCAAACCTTCGGATGAGCATTCAGGTGAAGGGCTTTCATCGACAGTTTTTTGTTTTTTTGCCTTTGCACGTCGGTTTTGAAACCAGACCTGAACACCACGAGGGGTCATGTTTAACTTTTGAGCCAACGCTTGACGAACAGCGGCATGGGGTTTAGGATTCTCATTAAAGGCCTTTTCGAGAATTTTTAGTTGCTGGCGGGAAGTACGACGTCTGTGTTTCACTTCAAACGGATTGTAAAAAGTAGGCTTGAATTCACCGTGAGGTGACTGATGAAAAGCGTCAAACATTTGTGGAGCTGGGTGAGCTTGTTGTTGTGGTCTTTCTGGCGCTGCTGCTACTTTCGCTTCTGGTAAATTCTGCCCGTTATAGTTCATTGTTTAACTCTTTTATTTTCCAAAAAATTTTTCGAAGAAAAAAAAAAAAAAAAAAAAAAAAAAAAAATAGATAGGCGACTTGTGCAC